GTGGATAGGAGTGATCGAGCTGAGAAGTTCACAGACAGTAAACTGAAAACTCAGCAATGGCTTCAATTCCATGTACTGGTGTTGCTGCTGCTGCCATCACCTCCAAGTCCTTTCCTTCTTCAACCAAATTCAACACCCGGTTCGTGGGTACCCGAAATAGGCTCGGGTGGGTCAGGCCCTTGGGGCTTGGACCCTCTAACGGGTCCAGAGCCAAGTGCTGGTTTAAATTCGGGAAAAACGGTGTAGATGCTGAAGGTGCTGGTATTTATGGAAGCCAATCCCGTGATGATTTTGATAGAGATGATGTTGAACAGGTTCTTTACTCCCTCTCTCTCTACATGTTATTGTATATGTGTATATATGTGGGTGACTGTGACTGACTTTTGGTGATGATCACAAATTGTTCTATGTTTGGGAAGCATTTTTATATTTATTTATGGCTAGGCAGATATGCTTTTCACGGTAAATTATGTATAAAATATTAAGAACAAGGATTGTTCAAACAAAATATTTGTTTCCAGCTAATTGTAAAATATAATGAATAAATTAAGGGTAATTATAATTATGTGTTCTTACCGAAATTAATTTGGAAATAATTTTTATTTATTTTTCTAGATTCTTGGAGACATTTGCTTGCAATAAATAAATAAGAAGGGGTACAGATAGAGGAGAGAGCTAGATTATTTTTTTCTTTTTGGGCAAAGAGCTAGAATAATGAAGTTTAGAGGAAGAAAAGAGATTAAGAAATTTATTCATCAAAAGGACATAGTCTTAACAAATGTTTTAACATGCATTCTAACTTCTTAAGAGCTTCATTTAACATCTAACTTTTTGGGCAGTAGCAATGGTACTTTTCCGGGTGTTATAAAGGCACAATTAGGTGAAGCATCGAATTCTTTGGTCCATGTAGTTCAAATATTCAAGAGGGAAGGATGATTGTTGGCCTCTAATATTTGTGTCCACAGGCAGATGCTCGTGTACATATAATTGAAAATTTGTAGTGAAGATAAATTAGGTGTGTGCTGTGCAATTTCATATTGGAAAGTGAAATGCAATTCTTTCTCTTCATAGTTTTATGAGTTCTGGTTGTCCACCAAAAAGGAATTTGCATAAGTGCATCGAGAAACCGGTTCTTAAGACAGCAAAACCCTTTTTTGCTGACATATAAATTAATAGAAAGGAAAACCTTGCTCTTGTGTCGTACAACTTGAATTTATCTAATCGCCAAAATGGAATTAGAGGGAATCTTTGAATTTGGTGTTAACATCTATTGGATGCATAAACATGATCCTTTTCAGAATTCTCAGGCTTGAGGTCCCTATACATCACACCGGTAACATGGTGGAATTGGCCTGCATATAGAAGCATTTTTTAGATGTTAGCACCAAGTTATATACAGCTTTGCTCCATGTGTCTGCATCCGTTGCACTGTTTTGTAGGAGGAGAATTTGCAGGACAAGGCATTTTCATGGTCATGTTGCAGTTCATGTGTCTTTAATTGTGTGCTCACAAGGGAACCTTTTTTATTTCTTAAACAGTAACGTGCATTGTTCAGTTTTTGCTATTAAATCTAGAACAGGCTCAAGGTGAGAGCAGGTGACAAAGCGTTCGTTTTACTGTCTTATATGTTAGTTTTGCTGCAACCAGAAACATGAATTTGTTGCATAAGGTCAAACATCTCAAGCATGACCACATTTAACGACTTATGCCTTTCTTCATTGCAGTATTTCAACTACATGGGTATGCTCGCTGTTGAAGGTACATATGATAAGATGAATGCTCTTTTAAGCCAAAACATCCACCCGGTAGACATTTTGTTGTTGATGGCTGCATCTGAAGGTGACAAGCCAAAAATTGAAGAACTTTTAAGAGCTGGTGCTAGTTACTCTATCAAAGATGTCGATGGGCGGACAGCTCTTGATAGGGCTGCAAGTGATGAAATCAAAGACTTCATTCTTGGTTTTTCAGTTCAGAAAGCATGATTTCAATAATATGTAGTTTTTTTTTTTGTTGGGAGTGACTTTATCATCATGTAATCTTTTCAATAGCTGCTTTAACCCATCAATTTCTATAGGCATTGTCAATTTATACCCTTGCTTTTAGTTTTATCTTCCTTTCTCTTTGCAAATTTTTGAGGCTACAGGGTACTATGTCACTTTGATGAACAGCAGAACTATTTATGAGAAGATTAATCTAATTATGAAATGCAACATATGAGTATTTAATCACTTTGTCTTTAGATAAACTAGATTACTGAAATTGTTACAAACTAAAGGAAACAAAAAAAAGAAAGAAGAAAGAAACATGGTACATCTCGACAAAGATAATAGTTGATAATGTTTTCATTCCAATATTTATATGAACTTCAATGAGCTTTTTACCTATCACTTGAATTCTGTGCTGAACAAGGTTTCTCACCATTTATGATCCAGCATATCCATACTGATAACTCCATCTTGACATAAAGTTCATTCATGCTTGGTCACCGAGAAACTTTAAGAAAACTCAAGAAAAGGTAAGAAAGTGGAGGAAGATCTGAATATAAGAGAGAAAAAAAAAAAGGCAACAATACTTGATAGCATGTAAAGGGATGAGAATAATTGCATGATTGTATACACCAATAAACAAATTACAACTACCGTCATTATGAAATACGTATGGTGCCGAATCAACAAAAAAATGTGTTTGTACCATATTTTGTAAATGGACCAAAAACGGTCTATCCATCAAAGGAATATATTTTAAAGCCTAGGCCCAATATTTCTTTCTTAATGGGCTTTGGATAGATAGGAAAAATTGATAAAAGCCCACGGAGTCAGGTAACCCAAGCCTTTAAGTCGCACTAAAGTTAAAAAGATCAGTAAACGTTGCACATTGACCCACATGAGGGTCTGAAGAAGATTGTCACCATTAATGGCGACTTGACCCTCTTCTCGCCCAACAAGAAAGCAAGTTGGACAAAAGCCACCAAAACCATAAGGAGCCGAATTGCCAACCAGATTTCTGGGTATAGAGAACTCAAGTCAAGAAAGCATCTCAAAAGACCAACGGTTTTGTCAAAAATGTCCCATCATCCCGCCTATGAACCAGTCCAGATCAACATATCAATAGCTGACTTTGGATAATAGCAAAATATCATCTTTCAGCTTTCATCATTGAAGTTTCTTCCCTATAAATAAAGAGCCTCCGCCACAGAAGAAAGGGACTCTCTCTCAAAAAACTAGATGCAATGTCTCTCGAAAACACTCGAAAAACTCAAGATCTTTTCAAACAAGCCTGCTTAATTTCCAGATAACTAGTTGACAACTCCTGCTTTTATCTTTTGTTGCTCTACCATCTTCATGGTATGATTTCTTTTAAACGATCAGTTTGAATTCATGTATCCATCCAACTGGATAGAGAAATCTCTAGTTCTCCCTTACATTGTAATCTATATTTTGAATTAGTTAAATGGATAAATTCAGAACTCTCATCTTCCTTTTGTTATCGAGTTAAAATTAGATGAAGAGATTTAGGAATTTACTCTAACTGTTTCATTAAACATTTGCTATTTAATCGCTTTTATACATTTTAAATGTCTCGGTAGATTAATTTAATTTCATGCTTTCGCATAATTTAAATTTATCATTCGGACCCAAAACAGAGGTCTAGCCCCGAATAGGGCTATTTTAGTTCGAAAATAGAAGGTTGATTCAGGCCTGAATTACCTTGTTGGGCCCGAATCGACTAGAATCTCGACCCGGTCTAAGGGTTGATTGAATTTAAATTAGGTTTCTAAACCCAAATAGGGTATCATTAACTACGATCTTGGTTCCTTCCTTGTTTGATTAGGTATTGCTAGTATCTATCAAATCGACACACACGAATGAAAGAATATTGAAGTCCTCTTAATTGAGGCGTAGAAAAGAACTTATCCAGGCCAGTACCCTCCTTGGAGCACAATAGCGTCAGCAGAAGTCCAGAATAAGCACAAACACAACAGATCATCACACTACACTACTCACACCACGTCTATTGGGCTAGTCTTATACCCAATAATGGCACGCCTACACAATTCCCGAACCAGGACAGAAGGAGCAAAACGACAGGGCCTAGCCCGAGCTGGCCTGTTCCTGTCAACCTGATTCAACTTTCAATTTTGTTCAGAAGTTGAGAGAATCCTCTTTGCGAGCCAAGAAAATCCAATCGAGGCATTGATGTTGATCCAAGAACCTAACAAAATGACAAAAGATTACATTTGTTTGGCATAAGCACTAAAAAGAACCAATAATATAGAGTGCTCACAAAAATAAAGACAAGTATATACAACATGATGTCAAACTACATTTACGAAATCCTAACGAGCATACTAACCAACGTACTGATAGAAAACCGGCTCAGTAAGAGTACCCTCCAACATACTAACCAATCTTTGATCCGTTTGGAAAACCACTGAAGGTTGGACAAGTTAGGAGCAGAAGACACAACAGAAGAAACATCATTGTTGTCTGAAACCACTAAAGATAGGATAGGTTGGGAGCATATGAGACATGAGCAGCAGAAACACCAGCGTCTGAAACCACTGAAGATAATAACTACTCTTTTCATCCCCATTCTGCAGACCTACTCTTTATTATCCATGTCTTCTTAATTTCAGACAATGTAGATGGTGGTTATCTCTTTTAGTCTCTTCTTAACACCACCACTGGTAAAGTTTTAGCATCCTCCAATATCTTAGTTATTCCTCTTAAATTAAAGCAATATTTCATTAGATGTCACCTAATATCAGAATTCAGAAGCATGAAAGGCATACTTTGTCATGTTTAAACTAGTCGCATCACACACTATGCATCTTATGTCCAGACGAAAATGAGTTTGGCATTGGACTATAACGAGTCATGGATATATTGTGAGGAAGGAGGTTCAGCATGGGCCTGCGTTTTGTATGAAGTTGTGATTTGCTGTATCATAAATAAATTCATAATCGGTTCTTCAAATATCGTTGTACAAACTTGGAAGGCATAACAACTACAAGGTTAATGTACCAAAAACCAACACAACATAAAACAAATCAAAACAAAATTGGTGAGCAATAATAAGTTAATACCTATATTAAACACACACAAAAACCCACGATTACCCAAAAAACAAAAGACCCTCACCATTTATGCTTTGCATAAAACACAAAAACAAGCAGTATGAATAAGCCAATTTTATCTTGAAAATGAAACTTCTAAGATTATACACGTATTCAAATATAAACCCATAAATACAAAGGTTGAAAGCCAAGAGAAATTAGATCTTCATGTACCTTTCTAAATTTGATTGTGGGTTTTACATACACTTGCAAAGAGTAGCACAACTGAGTTTTTTAATTTTGAAGGATTTTTCTTGTTTGGGGAGCATCTACAATGAGCTCCCTAAACCATTGAAAAAATACAACTCTAACCAAACTACTTATCCACTTCCTAAAATAGGAATTGTCAATGGGGATATAGCTCAGTTGGTTGAGCTCTTCTACCTCTACTTATGTGGGCCATCCAATGAATATTTGTGTAAACCCCCATCTCCCAATGGTTTGTACCCAAAAAAAAAAAAAATAGAGATATTTAGTGATATACCCATTTTTAGCACTAATATTACCCTACACAATTGAATTTCTATAAACAAATCCAAAAAAAACCCAAAAAATGATAGTTGGCCTTATTGAATTTAATATTGATTATTAAATTACTTTGATGCCCTATTGAGTGTTTTGGGTATTTTTATGAGATTTTGGGGTTGGGCTTGTTTTAAGAAATTGATGGCAGTTTGTAATTTACAAGAAGTTAAAAGCTTTTTTGTTATGTTGTAAATGAGTTTTGGGTGTGTTTTTAAAGTCCATTTTATATGAGGTATTTTTATAATTTGGGCCCCTATATTGGGTGTAATAGTGAATCTCCCAAAAAAATATATAGGAGACCTCTAGGAGCTCTTATAAATGAATGCTGTTTTATTTTAATATTATCTTTATTATTTATTTAATGCTAACTATTATTTGTTGTTATTTTTTTGCTTTCAATTTAGTCAATACTTGAATTAAAAAATAATTGAAGCATTTATAGAGAGCTATAGAGACCTCCCTAAAATAGCTTTATAGTATTTTTAGTTAAATTTGAACTGAAAAATAGCGAGTAAGATTGTAGATGCTATAATGGCAGTCCAAATTTCTTCTTAGTTCATTTTTTGGTTGTATTGATATTTTCCTTTTGCTCTAACATCCTTCTTTATTTTTTGGCTACAACTCTAAGATCCTTTTAGTTCTAAGAATTTCCTCTCAAAAAGCTATGGGTTGTCTTACTAATGACTTTTGTTGGTTGCCAACTTTTGTCATTTCTATAAAATCTACTTAGTTCCAAGATTTCCTACTGAAATGATGAAAATGAAAATGAAAATGAAAATGAAAATTATTGCAGAGAGTTATATACACCTAAGGTTATTGTTATGTAACCAGTATTAAGACAGCAAAACCCTTTTTTGCTGACATATAAATTAATAGAAAGGAAAACCTTGCTCTTGTGTCGTAAAACTCGAATTTATAGATAGGAAAGCCGAAATAGAATTAGACGGAATCTTTGAATTTGGTGCTAACATCTATTGGATGCATAAACATGATCTCTTTCAGAATTTCAACTACATGGGCATGCTCTGTTGAAGGTACATATGATAAGATGAATGCTCTATTAAGCCAAAACTTCCACCCGGTTGACATTTTGTTGTTGATGGCTGCCTCTGAAACTGAAGGTGAAGAGCTGGTGCATTTTTTTCTCTTGTTGGGAGTGACTTTATCATCGTGTAATCTTTCAATAGCTGCTTTAACCCATCAATGGCTATAGGCTTTGTCAATTTATACCCTTCCTTGCTTTTAGTTTATCATCGGGTACTCTGTCACTTTGATGAACAACAGAACTATTTATGAGAAGATTAATCTAATTAAGAAATTGTGTTTAGATAAACTAGATTACTGAAATTGTTATAAACTGGAGGGAAAAAAATAAGAAAGAAACATGATACATCTCCACAAAGATAATAGTTTATTATGTTTTCATTCCAATATGAACTTCAATGAGCCTGTCACTTAAACTCTGAGCAGAGCAAGGTTTCTCACCAGGTAAGAAAGTGGAGGAAGATCTAAGAGGAAAAAAAAAGGCAAGGAAGAAAGTGAAGAACTAAACATCAGAGGCCTCCTTTGCCTGCATGTAAGGGGATG